AGGAGCTGATACCAAGGGCTCAAGTACAAACAAAATATTTTGAAGATGATGGTGGCAACAAATGTACTAATGTGCTTGACACAATGGATGGATGGGTGGATAGATGGAGTGGGTGGATGGGTGGGTGGTGGGTGGATGGATGGATGGATGGATGGATGGATGGCGTGGGTAGATGAATGAATGAGTGAAGATGCTTTACCTACCTTATGTAGAATCCTCAGAGCACTCCTTGAAGTGGAGCACTGTTTCATGTCCCCGTCGGCAGTGTGTGGGAGTCCCGTGCTTCCCCATTTTCGCCAGCCTACAAGGCAGCCCGTTTTGTGGATATCACCCTTCTAGTCGGCGGGTGGTGAAGCAGTGGTGGATCCCTGGTAGAACTCTCGCCTGCCCTGAGAGACAGCCAGAGTCGATTTTCAGCCAGCTGACCTCCTACACAGCAACCACATGACTGTCGGTAGAGCTGTGGGGCTGAAAGGCTTCCGGAGAGATTCTGGGTGAGGACAGACTAGGAAGAAAAGCTTGGCAGTCTCTGGCCAGAGGCTCACCAGGGGAAACCCTATGGGTCACAACAGTTCAATCCACCACGGATCGCGGAGACGGGCAGTGCTTGGCCTAGTTCTGCACAGGTGTCCACACGTCGAGGCCACCTGGACCATAGCTAACACACCAGCAAGGACACACTCCCAGAAGACCCAGGGTCACAAGGGGTCCTCTGCTCATAGGATCAGCTGCAGCCTTCCTCCCTTCTGAACCCCCTCTGAGGGAGGGTCCCTTCTTAAATGAGAGCTGTGTGCTGGGGAACAAGCCAGCCTCCTGGCCCAGCTCATCTCCCGCGAGGCTCGGCTCTGCGTTTGGAACCGGATGTGACGCTCCACGTGGAGAAAAAGGCTGCTCTGCAGAAAGCAGCCCCAGCGTGGTGATGCTGCTTCCCCAGCACCTGCGGCCTAGCCTGTGGATGCCGCAGCCAGGCTGGGCTCTGGGCAGCAGCCACAGCCGGCTCCTCAGCCCTGCAGATGCCGAGGCATGACACATGATGCAGGCTAGGCCTGCCCTCTGCCACTTGGCCTTATAGGGCAAGCTGGCATTTCTGGATCAATGGGTATGAATTCATGGGTTTGGCCAGGGGCTGCTGAGCTCCTAGTGTGTGTCAGGCCCTGCTTCAGCTGCTGGGAATTGAAAGGCCCTGCTTCTTGGGGCTACCTGTCTGGGGAGAGGGCCCCCGCCTGGTGGAGGAGGGGTCCCTGCCTGGAGGATCTGCCGAGGCCATGAACTCCCTCTGGGTGTCGGGCTTCTAGCCCCTCATCCTGTGCCTTCTTCCTGCTGAGCCGGGAGTCAGGCTTAGGGATGCTGGCAGGTTGATTGTTTTTCGTGTTCGTTTTATGCTAAAATTCCGCACCTATGCAGGTGCTGGAGAAATGCTAGTCCGGCTTGTTCCTCACCCTCGGGGACAGAGAGCTGGAGCTGTGGCTGGTGATGGGCCCTGGAGGGGAGGGCATCAGCATGCAAGCTGAGCACCCTCAGGGGCAGCTCATTGAGCAAGCTCCACTTTCATTCATTCATTCGTCAGCATTCATTCATCATCTACCAGCACCTCCACCATCAATTGGGTGTGACCCTGCCCTCTGTGATCAGGTAAACAGATCCTTCATTCAAGGTGGCTCTTGGAGAGGGTGCGGAGCTGGACATGGAGAAGGGTGGGGGCGGCTCAGAGATAGGAGGGTGGTATTACATCTGTGTGGGGGGGCGGGGAGAGACTTGGGGGAGGGGATGGGGGATGCAGGGCATTTGAGCTGAAATTGAAAACTGGGTGGGGTATGGGGCAGGTGAGGATGTTGTTCGGGGAAAGGGGGTACATTCCAGGGAGGAAGCAGCGATGGCAACTGTCTGTCTGTCCATCTTTCTTTCTGTCTGTCTCTCTATCCATCGGGCTTTGCCTTCAGTGAAGCAGGGGCCAGTAAGGGAGAGGCAGAGCCAGGCACAACAGCCAGAGACCATGAGACAGACACCAGACCGGGCAGCGCTGTGTCCAGGGGCATGTGAGGTCACCACAAAGAGTTAACATGATGGCATGCATGTATCCCTATGTCCGTCCATCCATCCATCCATCCATCCATCCATCCATCCATCTATCAGATGCTCATTTGTGTCCTGAGTTACAAATAGTTGGGATCTTTCCAGAGGGGACAACCCTATAGGGTGGGAGACACTGAGGTCCAATCTGTCCCTCTGGTCACCTTATCTTTGGTGCCTGTGGTCATCCGACTCTCTCCAGTGCCCAGCCTGGAGCCTGGCACATGCCAGGGCTATACCAGTGCTGGGAAGGTGGGTGCGGATTGTGGGTCCCTAGTCCCAGCCACCTCCCAAGTGGTCAGTCGCACTGGTCTCTTTGGTTGTTTTCCCGTCACCATTTGAATGTTCCCTCGGGGCCAGCATGGACTTAAAGCCCTTGAGTGGCTCTCGTTCTCACCCCAGCCTGGGACGCAGACCTTAGGCAGGTTTGAGCTGCAGCTCCAGCTCCATCCCGCTGCGGGACCTTGAGCCCTGGGGCTGTCTGCCAGAAGCCCCTTTTCTCTCCTCTAGAAAGCACTGCCCTCCATGAGCTGTCAGTTGAATTATGGGTGCGAGGCCTGCCTCCTCCAGCTCTGGGTGGGGTGGGGGTGGGGGGAGCTAGAGGAAGGATGGTGATGGGTAATGTAATGCCCCCTAAAGCTACTGGTGCCATTAACATCTCTCCTCCAAACCGATTTGAGGAGGCTGCTTTGCATAGGGAGACAAAATTATGTTGTAAAGTGTAAAGTTTGCTGAAGTAGGAATCAGTCCTCATTAAAAAAAACAAGCAGAATGGAAGGGCTTCAGTGCAAATACAAGGCCCCCGCTGGCCGCCCCATCCACCCATCTCCCTGGCAACAGACTCTTTCACCGTGGAGCTTCCCGAGGTTGGAGGTTTCCCCCTTTGCTGTTGTCAGAATTGTCACCAAGGGCCCGAGTCTTGAGACTGGTGCCTCACAGGTCCCACAGGAGCCAAGGGCAGCCTCTGTCCCTAGGGGCCACCTGGCAGGCCTGGTCCCTCTTTGCTGTGAGCACTTGAGCATCCCCCACCCCCCACCCCCGCTCTGTAGAGCCAATACTCTTGAGGTCCAGAGACCTGACACCTCAGGGTGTCCTGAGACTTCAGCACTGGGGTGGGGATTAGAGTACCAGGCTCTTGGAGACCACTGCCAGTCACATGCCCGGGATGCCCTCTTCTACCATGGCATCCCAGGGTGCGGCGCTGCTCACCCTTTCCATGTCCCTGGCAGGACAGGGACGAGCCACTGACAACCTTCTGCCAGCCTGCAGCTCACACCTGTGCCCACTGCCAGCACCCCTCAGCAAAGGCAACCTGCATGTGGGCCCAGCAGAGCCCAGCACAGGGCCTGTGTAGCTCGCTGTCACCACGCCGATCACCCTTCCATGTGACATTCATTATAGTGGATCCAGCTGTTTGCTGGCCCTCCCACCAACCCCCCCCACCCCGAAAAAAAAATCAATGCCACCAAGTTTATTCCAACTCATAGGACCCCCATAGGACAGAGTGGACACTGTCTAGTTAGGTCACAGGAGTAGAAAGCCGCCTCTTTCTCCTGAGGAGTGCCTGGTGGGTTTGAACTGCTGACCTTGAGGTTAGTAGCTCAATGGGAAGCCCACTACATGGCCAGTGCTGGCCCCATGTTTGCTGCTGTTTGGGGCTGCCAGGTTGGTTCTGACCATAGAGACCCTACGCACAACAGAACAAAACGCTGATGGCCCCAGTGGTCCTCAAACTTGACCGAGCATCCAAGTCCCCACTTAGTGAGTTTCCAGTTCAGTGTGGCAGATCTGGGGGCAGGGGTGGGGGTGTCC